CCAGAAATGTAGCCTCCATATGCTAAAGAGTCAATGTTCTGACCGAAGAACATTGCTTCCATATGTTCTGATTGAAGAGTCATATTTTGAACCGTCTTTGCAAACTTTGATTGCACTTGTGTGGAGGCTGGCCCGGAAGTTCTGAAGTATCATATTTTCTTAACACAGAAAATTTTCTAAATGTTTAGAAATTTTATTTTTTTTTCAAGGTAATTTCTGATTTTAGATGTCTTGATGAACCAACTTTTCTTGACAGAATATGATTGTTGGAACTTGATTTCGACCAAAAAGTCAGAGTTTGACTTTTCAGTGTATTTTTGACCATTTTGCCCTTGTGAATGACTTTCTTGGAAAATTGTAATCCAAGACTTGAAACTTGATAGAAGCAAACCTGAGGGTCCAGGATGATCCTTTGAGAAATGAGAGGGCAAATTTTGGGGTACAACAATGCTCTTTGTTACCTCGCTTCTTTAGCCGAGGTAAAATGTATTTCGTATCTGAGGTTAAAAGCGCTTTTTGTAGTAGTGTTACCCTCAAAGCCTTAATTGACCTCCACACACGAGGTAACTTTTTCACACTAGAACATTGTCAAAATCCTATTTCATGAAAGAGATCTCATGTTCATCAATATGAAAATGTTCAACTAGGATGTCAAACGAGTAATTATCGACCATGTTAGATTCATAGGAATCCTCTATTAGGATGCTTTCAAAATATTGCAACTTGATCAAGAGCATTTACAATCGTTTAAGGGCTCCATGGTGAGTTTCTCGGGCAAACAAGTACAAGTCCATATATATTTCTCCTTCATGACCAATTTTGTATTGGGAGAGAACCTCAAAGTACATAAAAGTTAGATACCTCATTGTAGATGCTCGCTCATCATATAAAATAATTGTTGTTTGCCCAACATTCAACATCCTAGAGGAATTCTTATCCATACTCAACCTAACGATGAAACATCCCTTAGATAATTAACAGATAGGCATTGTAATGGGACATCAAGAAGTAGGAAATAAGTTTCATGAAGACAACCTAAGAATCAAGAGGACAACAATGGACGACAACCTACCACCAAGCCCCAACGTCCATGTAGAGAACTTTGAAGAACTCGATACAAGAGAAGAGTACTCGGATGATAGGTTTGTTACTACATAAGACATGAAATATATTCATATCGGCTCTTAGAACATCCATAACACAAATATCAACACCTTCCTAATAGACTACAAGGAAGAAGATCTGCTCAACTTGCTCCAAAATAATATGTGATTGGTTCACCTTGAGTCCCTCATGTATGTCATGGATAGATGCTGACATCATTTTTCATCCTCATGCCCTGAATGTCGTCTCCAAACCAATCATAAAAAAGGGAATATATAAGTATAATTTTTGACGAAGAAGTAAAAATCTGATAAGGGAAAGACTTATAATAAAGATCAGATACCCCACATGGCTAGATAACATAGTTGTGCAAAACAATCCTTGGGAAACGAAGCATGTGTGTGGATTTTATCCACCTTAATCTAGCTTGTTCTAAATACCCTTACTCATTACCCATCATAGACATATTGGTCGATGGTTTGTTAGGGTACATAACGATAAGCTTCATGGGAACTTAGTTGTGTTATAATCAGATTAATATGAACATTTTGGATGCGCCTAAAACAACTTTTATGACCAATAGGTACAATTAATACACGAGGTAATCTTTTAGTCTCAAGAACGTTGGTGCCACCTATTAATTACAGATGGATGTTGTGATCACTACGAAGACCTTAAAGATATATTGCGTTTAGTACAAAAATACAATATGCCCCTCCATCCAACCAAAGTTTTGTTTGTGCTTCAAGAAGAATTTTTTTGGGGATTTATGTCAGCTAGAAGGAGGGTACAGGGCAACTCAGATAAATTCTAATTCATAATAAACATTAGAAGTCTAACAATAATTAATAAAGTTCAATAGATGAAAAGGAAAATATATGTGTTCTCTCATTTCTATCATATGTAAGTGATAAGAATTTTGGTATTTCCACAATGAAAACGACAAAAGTTTGATTGGACATAAGAACACGTAGAATCCTTTTAAAGTTGAAAACCTTCTCGGAACCCCCTGGATATTGATTAACCCAAAAGAAGGTTCCTTTATTTCTATACTCATCATTAACTAATAAATCCATGAGTTTCGTGTTGGTTCATAACTAGATGGCAATCAAAAGACTGTCAAATTTGTAAGCAAAGTCTTTAAATGACATGAACTAAGGTATGTGAAATAGAAAGGTTGGTCATGGAGGTAGTTACAACGAGGAAGTAACTAAGATCCTACTTCCAAGTTCATGTCAAAACTAACTATCTAGTTTTATGGGTTCTAAAGAAACTAGATGTGGCTGAAAGAATGATATCTTGGTCTATAGAATTATCTCAATATGATATATAGTGTGTTCTAAGAGGTAGTATAGAATCACAAGTCCTAGCTAATTTCTTCATAAAGTTCAACTCACCTGTAGGCAAATACACTCCCCACATATGGATCTTGTTAGTGGACGGAGCATTAAACCCGAAGGGGAGCAGTGATGTATTATTATTAGAAAGCCCAAGCAATATTGTGATAAAAAACATTGTGATTCAAATTGAAGGCCAGTAACAACCAAGTGGAATATGATGCTTTAGTTATAATAATGACTTTAACAAGGGAAATGGGTGCATCAAATCTTCAAGCAAAAAATTATTCTTAACTTGTAACTTGTTAAGTCGATGACGAATATTAGACTAAAAAGGCACAAGTAGTGAAGTATCTTTAAAATATTCAAGAGCTAGTGAAGCATTTCAATTTCTTTTAAGTAACTTACAGGCCTAGGGGAGAAAAATTCAAAGTCAATCGTCTATTAAAACTCGTCATCACAAAGAAGTTATGCCACAACAAAACAATAATAAAAGAGATGATGCTCACCTACCGCATATAAACCATAGTCATCAACATCGTAGGTACAATGGATGTTAGAAGTTGGATAACACTCATAGTTTAGTACGTAACGAAAGAGGAATTACCCATTGAAAAGAGGAAGCAGAAAAAGGAAAAAAGTCATGTGCAATATATATTATCATTGTAGGTAAATTACATAAGATGGGGACATCTACACCAATGCTAATATGCTTAGGAGAGAGAGAGAGAGAGAGAGAGAGAGAGAGAGAGAGAGAGAGAGAGAGAGAGAGAGAGAGAGAGAGAGAGAGAGAGAGAGAGAGAGAGACCGCTATAACACTAATAGAGGTGCACAAAGGTGTCTACAAGAGTCATATAGGGGGAATACCTTTTGTGAACACGTTATTAAGATCTTGTTATTACTAGCTAAATATGTTAAGAGACATTGACGATTATGTAAACATGTGTCACAAGTGCTAATGATACTCAAACATGCACTATGCCCCACACCCCCACCCCAATAGAGGTAATTTATTTGGTTACCTCTCCGCGGTAACTTTAAGAATGAGGCATGTATATTCTAGGACCATTTCCCCTAGCATTAAGGAAGATAAAATTCTTGCTTGTAGACGTGGAGTATTTCACTAATTAGATTGAAGTAGAAGTAGTGTCAAATATCACGATGGACGGAGTGAGGTGTTTCTATTAGAAATTAATAATCTACAAATTAAATTTACCAAAGTGAATCATATATAATTCATCTAGAAGTTCAAATGAAGTTAGTCTCAATTAAACACCCACAATTCAATGGCCAAGACAAATCCGCGAATAATGTTATCCTTTATGAGATCAAGAAAAAAAATTGATGAATTCAAAAAGGCTATGGCCTAAACAGTTATATGCATGGTATCCTTATTCTTAATTTACCCCTAATAATACTATATTTCAATCATTTCCTTTGAATCTCGTCCCCATTTTTTAAGATGTATTTAAAGATTTCGTCTATGAGAGTCATGGGTACTATGGTCATATCACATGGTACCACACTTTTCTTCAAGGAAATACCATTTAAGATGGTGTATGTTTCAAACACCTTGATACCCGTAGAATTAGACACATCCACCAAGATGCGTGAACACTTTAATGAGGAATGTATAACATTCATGGAGTTAGTTTTCCATATTCTCTGACCAACATATTTTCTAACCCCAAAATTTGTTCTTAATATCTTGAATGATGCAACTTATTATGGTTACTTATTTTTTATGAATTTATTAAAGAAAATGATACATATCTTAAACGCACCACAAATCTACTTGACAAAGTGTGCGAAATAGCCAACATCCAAAAGTTCACAGAAAAACAAAGATTTGTGAGGAGATAAAATTCTCAAGTTATACACGGTGAGAAATGAAGGAGGGCATCTTAGTGCTAAAAAAGTGGTAGCACATAATAGGATTGGAAAACTCTTTCCTATATGAGAAAGGTCTTACAAATAAGCTATCACATAGTGCTTATATACTAGAAAACTTAAATGACGATGTTGTTCCTAGATCTTGGAACTCAATAAATCTAAGACATTATTACAATTGATGTTTACTTTTAAAGGTAATAAGGGGAAGATATAAACCACCCTGACTTACTTTTTATACAGGTGATTCAAAACACCAATAAAGTGGTAGAGTGACATTCTTTTCCTATACAAAAGTAAGATATTTTAACAAGGCGTCCTATTTAATAAATTCATTTTATCGCTTACTCATGAAAAGTATCACATATAATATTATGAAAAAATACATTGAATTTATAAAATATAACTTTAGCTTCCTTAAATGTTATACATACAACTACTAAAAATTGAAAAACTAAAGAGAAGCCAACTCAATCATTACCATATTGAATTAAGGTTTAATTTTAAACACAAACATCTTGTTCATAGAAATAGTAATTTATTTAGTACACAAATGAGACCTTACTTAGTACATAAAAATAAGATCTTACAGTACATAGAAATTAAAAGCATAGGAACGATATGAAAAGTTTTTGAAATGACATAGAGATTGACTAACAAAGATATGAACTAGTTTCGAGTATCTTTTAACCATCCATCAAGGTAAACTTGTTTGGAGTCAGGGGTAGATTTAGCTTTCTCGTCTCGGATATCTTTTAACCATCCATCAAGGTAAACTTGATTGGATTCAGAAGTGGATTTTGTTTTCTCGGCTCGGATATCTTTCAACCATCCATCAAGGTAAACTTGGTTGGAGTCAGAGGTGGATTTTTCTTTTTTTGCTTGGGTATCTTTCAACCACCCATCAAGGTATACTTCGTTGGAGTTTGGCATGGATTTTTCTTTCTCAGCTCTGATATCTTTCAACCATCCATCAAGATAAACTTGGTTGGAGTCAGAGGCAGATTTTTCTTTCTCTACTCGAGTATCTTTCAACCATCCATCAAGATAAACTTGATTGGATTCAGAGGTGGATTTTGCTTTCTCTGCTCGGGTATCTTTCAACCATCCATCAAGGTAAACTTGGTTAGAGTTAGGTATGGACTTTTCTTTCTCAACTCTGATATCTTTCAACCATCCATCAAGGTAAACTTGGTTGGAGTCTGCGGTAGATTTTGCTTTCTCAATCCGGGTATCTTTCAACCATCCATCAAGGTAAACTTGATTGGAGTTAGAGGTGGATTTTGCTTTCTCTGTTTGGGTATCTTTCAACCATCCATCAAGGTAAACTTGGTTGGAGTTCGGGGTATATTTTGTTTTCTCTGCTCGGGTATCTTTCAACCATCCATCAAGGTAAACTTGGTTTGAGTTAGGGGTGGACTTAGCTTTCTCAACTCTGATATCTTTCAACCATCCATCAAGATAAACTTGGTTTGAGTCAGAGGTAGATTTTGTTTTCTCATCTCGGGTATCTTTCAACCATCCATCAAGATATACTTGGTTTGAGTTAGGGGTGGACTTAGTTTTCTCAGCTCTGATATCTTTCAACCATCCATCAAGATAAACTTGGTTTGAGTGAGAGATAGATTTTGTTTTCTCATCTCGAGTATCTTTCAACCATCCATCAAGGTATACATTATTGGAGTCAGGTGAAGATTTTGTTCTCTCAGTTCGGGTATCTTTTAACCATCCATCAAGATAAACTTGGTTGGAGTCAGAATTAGATTTTGCTTTTTTAGATCGGGTATCTTTCAACCATCCATCAAGATAAACTTGGTTGGAGTTAGGAATGAGTTTTTGATTCTTCAATGGATTTTTGAGCCAACCATCAAGATAAGGCTGATCAACTTGTTTTTCTTCTACATTCTCTTGTGGAAGTTTTATATATCTAGCAAAGCTTCCTTCTCCATTCTACAATATAATAAATAAATGCATATTAATAAATAACATTTAGATGGTATATATGATTAAAAAAAAAAACTCAAGTGTTTTATGATACATATTATGCTGCATAGTTAAGACACGTTCATCATAGCAAATCGATATAGAATCTAAAATTAGAATTAGAGAAAAGGAATTTTTTAAATTTTCATTATAGAAAAAACATTATTTTATCAAATCAAATAGAACAATTTGATTGTGAGTGAAAGTGATGAATGCAAATAAAAATGAGATATGATAGATTTTTGTGAATAAATGATGAAAAATATAATTTTAAAAGATACAAGCTTGCATGTAAAATTAGTAACTTACAATCAATAAGAGCAGCAGAAAAGAGAAAAGAGACAAAACAACTTTGTGTGTCATTTCTTTCATTCGTGTTATTGTGAGAAAAATATCAATATGAAAGATGCATTTGAAGTGAAAGTGAACTAGACTATTTATAAGCAAATGAAAAGAAAAAGTACAATTAATGAGGATATTAAGGCTTTGTTTGGCAAAATCATTTTTTTTAAAACAATTGTGTCTAAAAACAATTTACACTACAGTTATTTTTTCACGTTTTTTGGGTGCATTTGTTGAGTTTTAAAAAAATGATTAGTTTCGGAAAAAAAAATTTAAAAATTATTTGTTTAATATCATGTATATTTTTTAACTTGAAGCTCATAAACTAGTCTTATATTTTAAAAATTAATAAATTTTGGAAAAGCTATTAGAATTAATTTTTTACTTTAAAATTAAAAATGATTTTCTAAAATCTTAAACAAACATATAAAAATGATAAAAGTGAACCAAACATATTTATTTTGATAAGTTATTTCAAGTAATTTAAAGTTTCAATTTCTTCTAATTTATAGTAGTGATAATCACCATAATTTTACACACGCAATTGTGATCTTTTGAGTTCTAAGTTGAGATATATTATCTGATCTAATAATTGTTCAGGGAGATATTAAGAGCATCGATATATAGTGTAGGATTATGTACCTTTGTGAGAGACACATCACTTATCTATCTAAAATCTTAAGGTAATAGGTGAGTGGGTTCTCCCACTTATATATACTTAAGTCTCCACATTCTTATCCAATGTGAGACTATTTCCCCACTTACTCACACTTACTATATTATTCCAACACTCTCCCTCGAGTGTGAGTCCACAATGCTCTCTTACTTGTACCACCATTGCAACGGAATACCATTTCCTGAGTGCATTTCGATACAAGTCTCTTTCGGTCCCTTTCTCGAACCAAAGGCTCATGATACCATGTTGGGAGGGAGATACTAGGGGCATCGATACATAGTGTAGGACTATGCACCATTGTAAAAGACACATCACTTATCCACCTAAAACCTTAAGGTGATAGGTGAGTGGGTTCTCCCACTTATATATTCTTAAGTCTCTACGTTCATATCCAATGTGAAACTATTTCCCCACTTACTCACAGTTGTTATATTATTCCAACAATAATATCAATAGTTTTAAGTTGAGTTGGAATTTACATATTTCTTATAGTTTCAATTTTGAAATTAATTAAAATATTTTAATACTTAATTTTTATAAGTATTATAAACTTAATGAGTTAATTTGAAAAAACAAATCTAATTAATTGAATTTGAATTTACAAATTATAATTTAGATTAATATTAAAATTTGAATTTATCAAAATCAAAATATTATTATTAATTAATTTGGTTAAATTTTTTGGTGCACAAGATAAAAGGAAAAAAGAATATTTACTGACAACTTCAAAATAAGGATTTACAATGAATTACAATAACCTACTCCACTAGGCTATTTATACACAAAATTAAATCTAAAACATATCTTCTAATAAAGATATAAGAAGATCTAAGATATATATCTTCTAATAAAGATATAAACAATCTAAAAGATATTCCTAAATATAAATTAATATCTAATTAATCATAAAATCTAAATTAATTCTAACATCATCCCTTAATTTATATTTACTCAAAACTGACAACACCAATTTCATCCCTTAAACCAAGAAATTAATCAGTTTTGATAGCCTTTGTCAGAACATCTGTCAGCTGCTTCTGGGTGCTACAGTGCACAACTTCTAAAATTTCATTCTGAACTTGATTCCTCAGAAAATGATATTTGGTCTCAATATGCTTGCTTCTCCCATGCAACACTGAATTCTTGGCAAGATTGATTGCTGACTTGTTATCAATCATCAGCTTCATAGGTTTATTTACCTCAATCTTCAGATCTTTCAGCAAGTTCAGAATCCACATAGCTTTACACGCAGTCAGAGCGCCTGCAATATATTCAGCTTCACAAGTTGACAGAGCAACGACAGGTTGTTTCTTGGAACACCAAGAAATAGGACCTATCGGAAATTCAAATAAGTACTCATAAGTACTTCTTCTGTCAACTCTATCTCCGCACCAATCAGAGTCTGAATTACTCAGAAGTTTTGATTCGATCTTTCTTCCAGACGGAAATAACACTCCATACTTTAGAGTTCCCTTCACATACCTCATAATCCTGACTGTAACTTGGTAATGAGACCACTTTGATTTTCTCATAAATTTGCTAACCATTCCAACTGCATAGCAAATATCAAGTCTGGTATTACACAAATACCTTAGAGAACCAACCATCTGTTTGAAGGTTGTAGCATCCACATCCTCTCCATCAGAATCAAAGTCCAACTTCTAATTTATATCAGCAGGTGTGATAGCAACTTTGCAATTTTCTAACTCAAATCTCTTCAGAAGCTCTAGTTCATACTTCATCTGATGCAAAATGATTCCTTTCTCAGAGTACATGAATTCCATCCCTAGAAAGAAACTCATTTTTCTAAGATCTGTCATCTCAAATACATTCATCAGAACTTTCTTGAACTCAACTATCTCTTGTTCAGAACTTCTTGTGAGTAATATGTCATCAACATACAAATAGACCAGAATCATATTACCTTCTGAAGTATGCTGAACATAAACACCATACTCCATCTCACACTTCTGAAACCCTCGTTCCTTGAAAAACGAATCAATCTTCAAATTCTAAGCTCTGGGCACTTTCTTCAATCCATATAATGCTTTGTGTAATTTGAACACCATCCCTTCCTGATTCTTTTTCTCAAATCCAGGAGGTTGTGAGACGTACACCTCTTCTTGTAATGGACCGTTCAGAAATGCATATTTTACATCTAAATACATCATAGGCCAATTCCTGTTAGCAGCTATTGCAATCACTAGTCTGATTGTTTCATGTCTCGCTACAGGTGCAAAGACTTCAAAGTAATCCAGCCCAGGCTTCTGTAGAAAGCCTCTTGCTACTAATCTCGCTTTGTGTTTACCAATTGATCCATTTGGCTTTAGCTTCTTCTTGAAAACCCATCTGACACTGGTGGATTTCTTGCCTTTTGGAAGTTATGTCAGATTCCAAGTCTTATTTCTCTCTATAGCATCAAGTTCTTCTTTCATGGCCTGTAACTAAACTTGCTACTTAAGATACTCTTCCGTACTTACAGATTCAGAGTCTACTAAGATTGCACACTGAATAACTTCTCCTTCATAGTCTATTTCAGTATCTTGCAACATGTCAAACTCTGTAAAAAAATTTGGGATGCTTCTGACTCTTTGTTGCCTCTGAACTGGACCTTCAGAACTTTGGACACCATAACTTCCCCCTTCAGAAGATCTTGCTTCAGAGTTTTGACTTTCTCTAGAACCTTGACTGTCTTCAGAGTCTTGAAAATTCCCAAGGTCTGAATCATCATCAGAGTCAGAGCCACTACCTTCAGAAATACCATCTTCAAAAGTTGGATCACCTCTGCCTTCAGAAGTTCCACTTTCAGAATCATGATCATCGTCAAAGGCTGAATTTCCTTCAGAAGCTCCTCCTTCAGAAGTTCCACTTTTAGAATCATGATTTCTACTAGAAACATGATCATCTTTAGAGTTTTCCCTCCTAGAAGCATGATCACCACCAAATTCTGAATTATCATCAAAATCTGGATCAGAATCAGATTCACCATCTGACTCACCTTTAGAGTTTCCAGAGTCATCATCTTCTGACTCTTCTTCAGAAGCATAATCTTCTTTAGAATCAGAATCACCTTCAGATTTTGACTTGTCTTCAACTTCAGAGTCATCTTCTGACTTTAAATCGTCTTCAGAAACCTCAGATTCTGACTCATCTTCAAAATCTTCAAAGTCGTCATCTGATTCTAACTCAGAGTCATATTCTGATTCTGACTCATACAAAATCACTCCTTCAGAATCAGAATATTCAAAGTCATATTCTTCTTCCCCTTAAGAATCAGAAATTGACAATTTCACTGGTTCCTCATCAGATTCATAAGCCATAAATAGCACATGTTCATCATCTGAATCTCCTCTGGCTACATTTGCTTCTTCTGACTTCCTTTCTTTGTTTGACCAGCAATCTTTGGATAGTGACCAAAGTTCCTTCAACAGTAACACTGAATATTTTTCTTGTCAGACTTCTCATTTCTCCTCTGGATATTCTTCTGCCTATCAGAGTTTGAAGCTTCTGACTTTTGACTACCATTAGTTCTCCTCCTGGCTTCTGACCAAGTTTGCTTCTGATGCTTCTTACCATAAATTGTCTTCAGAGCCTACTGCTCTACTTACCTCTCAGATGTTCTTGCAGTCATACGCAACTCATGCACTTCTAGACTACTTTGCAGCTCTTCAACTCTCATGATGCTCAGATCTTCGGAATTTTCAATTGCTACTACAATGTAATCAAACTGAGAAGTTAAAGATCTCAAGATCTTCTCAATAATTACTTGTCCAGACAGAGTTTCTCCACAAGCTTTTATCTCATTAGTGATCAGAATCACTCTAGAGATGTATTCAGAAACTTTCTTGTTGTCCTTCATGTTGAGATTCTCATATTGCTTTCTGAGAGACTGAAGCTTCACCTTCTTCACTGATGCGTCACCACCGTAACATCTGACCAGTGTGTCCCACGCAGCCTTTGCTATTTCAGAATCAGCAATCTTCTCAAACACATTTGCATTCACACATTGATGGATGTAGAACAACGCCTTCTGATCTTTCTTTCTTAGCACCTTATGTGATATCTTCTGGACCTCTGTTGCATCTGCTTCTAACAGATCATAGCCATCGGTGACAAGATCTAACACATCTTGAGTACCAAATAACAAGCGCGTATGGATCTTCCAACGATTCTAGTTTTTGCCATCAAATACTGGAAGCTTGAAATGAATATCGTCGTTGTTTCCGTTCACCTTCTCCCTTGTGCAATTTACGCAGAAACTCAATGAAAAACAATGTTTCCAAATCCCAGAGTTTCTATCAATGAAACAATGTCTTTCAAATTCCAGAGTTTCTAACCAGAAGCT